CGGCCCAGGAGCCGCGCCAGTCGGTGCCCCCAGGCGAGCGCGGTCCGCCTCCCTCTCGGTCATCCGTCCGGAGTGCGGCCGGCGGGCATGTCCGATCCACCAGGGGCGCCGCCTCCGGCGCTCGCGGGCCGCGGGTGAAGAAGAAAGTGCGACCTCGCTCGGCCCAGAGCAAAGAGGTGGTCCGCAGCGAAGAGGTGGCCGCGAGCGAAGAGGTGGCCGGGAGCGAGGAAATGGCGGCAGCCGGGCTCAGCGTGACCGTCACCCACAGTGAGCGCGGGCGGGCGGCCGGTGGGCTCCGTGCCGGGCTGCGAAGGTCCGGCGGGGTTTGCGGGTTTGGCCACGTGTCCTCCGGAAGCGTGTGTCCTTGTGTTGTCCTGGCGTCCGGAAGTGTGGGTTCCTGCTTGTGTCCGCGGGGCCGGCTTCTGTGCGGGTCGTGGGTCGGCAAGCTCTCCATGCGGCCGGTGTATCTCGTCTCAGGCCGTTTGTTTGATCCTCGATGTCCGTGCTTCCCGTCGGGGTCCTGATTGTATGTGTTAGTGTCTGCCAGCGCAGTGATTGTGGGTCTTTGTGTCGGCTTGTATTTGGTCACGTTGTGTATGACTGCTCTGTGTCTGGACACCTACGTGTGTGCCGAGTCAAAACTCGTGTCCGCGGTTTCAGTGGGCTGTGGGTCCACGCATACACTCTGGGCATGCTTTGGATCTGCCTCCTGTTGGAGTTGACACAGAACTAAACAAAGCCAGTTCACTGGGGAGCTGAATCCATGAGGTTTTCCCAGGGCCAACTAGGGGAGACCCCAGGGCCTTGGAATCTGGAGACCAGGATTCTAGATCCTGCAGTTTTGAGTGACCTTGAGATATCTCCTTTCTAGGCATCTGGTTTCTTCTCTGAAGTAGAGTTGGTAACACCTGTCCCGCTGACTTCACTGGCTGTTGAGCAGGCTCAAGGCTTGGCATAATGCACTGGACACAGGCTACCTCCTTACTGTCCATATATCTGGAAAAGAATTGGCACTTCTGCTCCAAAAAGAAACTTTCTGCTGTTTGAGTTTCTTCACTCATTTGTCTATTTACTGAGCACCAACCATGGATGTGCCCAGCTGTGCCCAGTGGGAGATACCTGGAAGAAAAAGAGTTACTTGCCCATTACAACAAAGGAGACAAGACCAGGACAGTACAGAGTATAGGGCAGTCAGGCCACAGGAGGTAGATGGCTTGTGAAGAAAAGCATTTCAAATCAGATAGACCTCAGGTCAAGTTCTGACTCCACAGCTGGGTCTCCATAGGCAGGTCTTGACTGCACTGAACTCAGTTCGCTCATCTGTGAAATGGCGAATAATAAGTAGTACCTACTTCATGGGGTTGTTCTGAGATTTAGATAAGAAGATGGATGAAATGAGGCTAGTCAGCCCCTTATGCATGTTAAGTGCTTAAAATGTTAGCTGATATCATTAACATTGCTAGTTGTTATAATAGAGGAACCAAAAATCCTTGAGCAGGTCACCAGAGGAAAGCTGGGCAGATGCGGGCACAGGCTGTTTGGAGTAGGCGGCATATGAACTGAGCCTTGAAGGCTAGGTAAATAAATAAAGTGGCAGCCTATATTGGTTTATGTGTAAGAGTTTTCTTCATCGAACGCTTTTCTCTCTCCCCAGGCAATGAGAAGCACGACCTTCATGTTACCCCACAACAGGGCTGTAGTGAACCAGTTGTCCAAGACCTGGCCCAGGTTGTTGAAGAGGCCACAGGGGTCCCGCTGCCTTTTCAGAAACTCATATTTAAGGGTAGGCATTTCTCTTCCAGCTTTGAGCCTTTCTGGCTAAAGGGCCTATTTAAAACTGCTTAACCTTACCTAATGGTAACTCAGTTTTCAGACTGGGACAGTTCTTGTTTGCTTGTTTATTCATTCATTCCTTCCATAACTGTTTGTTGAGGATCTACCACGTACTGGACACTTTGAAACGTTTGGAGAGGTATGAGAGTTGAAGTCACGTGAGGGTGGCAGAAATCTTACCATTTCTGATGAAGCACGTGGGCAGTCTTCCCTTAGATCCTTTTCCTATTATATATTCATATGGTGCTCCCTACCACTTCTGCATAACTTGTGTTGAAATTACCATTAGTTAGTTGTTTTCATGGTTGCTGAACATCTGATTTCTGTGTTAGAATAACAGACTTTATGAGGGCAGAGATACTACAGTGTGTCTGATGCTCGGCGTAGTGCTGATACAGAAGGTGTCGAACAGACTTACCAGTGGCGTGGATGGGGCAGGCCCAGTGGATGATGCTGATTTCTGCCGGGACCCACCTCCTCCCCAGCCCCATCCTTGTCTTCACATTCCCATGGGAACCCATTATTTTGGTATCTGATGGGGCCAGATTTATCCCATTTGGTGCCAGTCATAAAGAATTTAGTGAAGGGAAGCATTTTATTTGTACTTCACAGTACAACTCCTTGTCTTTTCTTTTTAAAAAGATTTCATTTTAGAATTAGAAAAGCAATAGAAATCCATGTTTCAGAATAGAGGAAGGCACAAAAAAGGAAACGTTCTCCTGGATAAAACCCCTCGTAACATTTCATTATATTTCCCTCCACCCTTTTTTGTTTGTCCTGGCATCCGGAGGTGTGGGTTCTTGTTTGTGTGTTCTTTTTTTTTTTTCTGGTTGACAAAACTAAGATATATTGATTATACAGTTTTTATAACGTTTTTTCTTATAACACTGGGTCATCAACATTTATTGTGGCATTGAAGTTTCCTGAAGAAATGGGCTTTAATGCCTACAGAGTTTGCTGTTGTACTGATGTATAATCAGTCCCCTATTCCTGAATTTTTGGCTCTTTCCACTCTATCACTAAAATGAATAAGGTTGCCCTGAAAATAATTATTTTATAACAGTTACTATGGAGGCACATGTCCAGTTGTTTATTTAGGATAAATATCAAATATTTATCAAATAATCAAATTACTGGTCAAGACACCTAAAAAGGTTATACAAATTTCTCCTCTTCTCGTTAGCAGACACACTTGTCTATTTCCTGAACCTTTGCTGAAGTGTATTTTCAGTATTGTGCAATTGTTAGAACTTGGCATAACTTTCTTCTCTTTTCAGGAAAATCTCTGAAAGAAATGGAGACGCCCTTGTCAGCACTTGGAATACAGAATGGCTGCCGGGTTATGTTAATTGGGAAAAAGGTAAATTGCTTTTTCCAGCAGAATACCTCAGAATCAAATGACTAAGGTCTTTTGTACATGTTTCTGTTTAGAAGGTCAAATTGGGGACCCAGCTCTGCATTGGTGACATAGCTCTCTCTACACAGATGGAGCCTCTGTTTGTGGGATGGGGTTACCAGTTCTGTTCTCGTATCCCCTGGCTCCTGTTGGTTAGGGCTTCTGCTCTGGGAATTAGGAGCAGTAGTGCTGCCTCGATAACGTGTTGGTGCTGGAATCTCAGTCTGGTTAAAATGGTGCCTGAGACAGTCCTTACTCACTTGGAGGGGGATTTGCAAGAGAGCATTTTGTTAAAATAAACATCTAGATTTTAAAAATAAGTACTCTGTGCAAGTTTCAGGAGCCTCTCTCCCTTTAACCACTCTTTTTACTAAAATCTCGCATAAGGGAAAACCCTCTTTGGCTGGAAAGAGAGGTTCCGACTAAAGAACTGAGGGAGAAAAAGAGTCACTTGGTGACAGGTGAGGACAGTAGCCCCTGGGTGATGAGAGAGGGCCATGGCCTGCATTGTGACACAGTGGAATTGTTGGTCACATGAAGTTCCCTGACTTCAAGTGAGGTGGCAGATTCAGAGTAGAGAGAGGGCTGAGATTAGCAAAGTGGAGGCGAAGAAAATCTAGTCCAGACTTGGAACTGCCAGGAGACTGGCCCTCGGGATTTGGCCTCAAAGAAGAATGTGAACAATTTGGGATAGTGTAAAAGTAGGAAGCTGCTGGCCCTGGCTACCAGTTGTTTAGGTGAGAGAAGGGGAAATATTCTTAATTTCTTGCTCAAGGGTCAGGGAGAATGGTGATGGGCAGTGAGTGGAACCCAAGTGTTGAGTTTGAAGAAGCCCTAGGACCTCCAGTTGGAGCTGTCCTGGGGTGTGTGGAGCCAAGTCTGATTCAGGCCTCACCTCCACCACTTTTGGGCTGTGTGACCTTACGTTACTTTACAATACCCTTAATTTCATCATCTGAAACAGTACCTCCCTCAGTGGCTTGGGGTAAGGCTTAAAACAATAATACAGGTAAAATGCACAGCAGAGTGCCTGGCATAGAGGGAATGTTCAATGTAAGTATTCCTCATTGTCATCGTCATCATAGTAAGTGGGGGAGCTCAGCTGGTGGGTGACATTTAGGAGTTCCATTTAAAGGAATAGTGGAATTCCACCCGTCTCGCCGTTCTGGACTCATCACGGGTGTCCACTGTAATTACCCACCAGGCTTCAGTCTGGAGACTGTTGATGGTCACTCTAGGCTGAGGTTGAGTCTGACACTTGGACTGGCTCCATTCTCTGAACCCCAGCTGTCGGGGCCCTTAGCAGAATAGCTAATAGCTTCGTCTAGTCTAGAGTTTTTGTGGATAGAAAGCCTTAATGTATAACCTTCTGGCTTGGTTTCAAAGAAGCAGCAGAGTTAAAGCTTTCTTCTTGGCATGTGGTTTAGCCCAGTTGTGGTCAGATTTTGTTTCCTGACAGAAGCTACTGTGCTTGGTGATTATTGACTTCATTTTAGAATAGTCCGGAGGAAGAGGTAGAACTAAAGAAGTTGAAAGATTTGGAGAAGTCTGTGGAGAAGATAGCCGACCACCTGGAAGAGTTGAACAGAGAGCTGACTGGAATCCAGCAGGTAATCTCTCCGTGGACTTTGACTTTCTACCTTCTGTGAGAACTTTGTGGAGACAGGATTGTGTGCTGATGAGCGCAGGCTCCATGGTCAGACTCCCCGGGTGCAGATCCTGGCTCTAGCCTTTCTGTTACTGTGGGCAAGCTTGCCTTTGTGTCAGGTTCCTCATCTGTAAAAGGGGAATGATGACGGTACCTCCCTCTGAGGGTTGTTGTGAGGGTCAATTAATAGTTTGAGCCTGACACATACAAAATGCTTTATAAACGTTATCGTCATTGTTATTTTCAAAACCCTGCCAGCATCCGTTTGTGCTCCTAGGAGAGCACCTGTTGTGCTAGGATCATGGTCTGAAATAGAACTGGTGGCTTCTCTCAGTCTAGTCTGCTACAATGTGGTTAGCAAGGCAAAGAACATTTTGTTGATGCATGGAAGGTCCAAGTTGAGCATAATGTTAGTGAGGAGTCATCCTATTCAATTCCTCATGGTAGAGATGGGGTACTGAAACCAAGGAAGGATTAGGAACATCCCCAAAACACATTTCTCTTTGACCCTCTCGTTTTGTAACATTAATGGATGTGTTTTCATTACAAAAGTAATACATGCTGATTGTGCGTAACTTTTAAATAAACATATGGGCACTAATAGGGAAAATAGAAATTACCTGTAAGGCCCTGACTCAGAGATAACCATTACTAAAGACTGGAATCTCTTTTTTCATCTTGAAAAGAACTGGTTTAATGCTATATACACTTTGTAACTTATTCTTTTATTGGATTAAAAAGTTGAACATTTTCCTGTGTCATTAAAAATCATCATACTTTTCAAAACCTGCATAATATTTTCTTGTCTATGAATGTATCATTGTTACCTAACCAATTATCTATTGTTCATCACCTAACATTATTTTACCATTATGCGTAATGCTTCTTTGAATGTCCTTGGACATAAATCTTTTTTGACCATTTCTGATTGTTTTGGTAGAATGAATTCTTTGAATTGGAATTGCTGGCTAGTGTTTTCTCCATGTTGTCAAATCTGCATTTGTAGCACTTAGCTTTGATAACATCCTCAGAGATCCCTGCTGCCCACCTGTTGTCCCAGCTAACTGGTCATTAGGCCAAGCGATGTGAATATACAGCAAGACAATTTGATAAGACTGATGTGAGTGCTGCCATTTGTTAGCACAGGTCTGTGTCAGGAATTATATTAAGGGTCCGCATATATTCCCCTTTATCCTTACAGTAACCCTCTGGGGTGTGGGTATCATAATCTCCATTTTAAAAATGAGGACATTGAGGCACAGATAGGTTAGGTAACTTGCTCAAGATCACAGGCCAGTGAATGGCAGTCGGAGTACAAGCCCCGGCCTGTCAAACTCTAAACCCTGCGCTCTTACTGTCTGCGTCTTGTGTGCCACCGGTGACTGGGGACCTCACCAGAGCCAGGCCTCAGGAGGCATTTGCAGCCCCAGTGGGCCACGTGAGAGAGAGTTGCCCGCAGCCTGTACAGTGCTGGGATGACCCAGGGCCAGCTTTTCTGTGTTTTCCGAGAGAGGAAGTTGTTGGTCTGAGGGCTGGACCAGCCTGTTTGGGGGATGTGGACTCCCGGTGTGGCTGCTCCGTCAGTGCCGTGGCGTGGCGCTTTCCATCACCCTTAAGGAGTCCTTGCAGTAATGCGCTATTCCTCCACAGGGTTTTCTAGCCAAGGATTTGCAAGCTGAAGCTCTCTGCAGACTGGATAGGAGAGTAAAAGCCACAATTGAGCAGTTTATGAAGATCTTGGAGGAGATTGACACACTGGTGAGTAAATAGTCAGCTGAGCAGAACTAGTTTCCTTTGACTGTATTTCATCAGTTTCACTCTTTGAGTAAAGCACTCTTACTGCCTGAGGGTATTTGAGCACCTACTGTGTGCCAGACACTGCTAGGGCCTCGGGGAATACACAGAAAGATACGACAGTTCCTGATTTCTAGGCACTCACACCCCACCAACATAGGGCTTTTGTCATTTTTATTTATGTATGCTAGTAGCATCCGGTCCTCACGAAGCTGGGACCCCAGTGGTCCGTGGTCTCATGGTCAGAGAGACACAGGGCTTCGCTTCCCTGATATTCACGTGACTGATATTCCACTGAGCTCCTTACCTGTATGGAATTCAGTCAGACCCGGCTCTTGTGAGGCTGTGGGGAGTCACTGACGCCATGTTCCCTTTTACGGAAAACAGTAATGATATCTCTAACCTGATGCCTCCTTCTTGAGGATGAACCACTCTGCTTTGGATTCTGGGGCAGTGAGGGGGGATTGGAAGGAAGAAGCAGAAGGTGAGCTCATGGTCTGGCCAGGACATGGTATCCGTACATAGTAAACAGTGAAAGGACAAAGTCCGGGTTACAGATCGGTTTCTCTGACCCAGATACCAAGAACAAAGGGAGCGTTTATAGGGGTGAGAGCCATGGGAGGGCCATGTAGGATACAGGCCCAGGGAAATGATTCCTGAATGTGCACATCTCATTCACATTGGTGACCTGTGACCTGTTTGGTATACTGTGGGTATTTCTGACGTGTTCTTATGTCATTTTCACTGAGGATTATTTATGTATAAATTTAATTTTCCATAGATTCTGCCAGAAAATTTCAAAGACAGTAGACTAAAAAGGAAGGGCTTGGTGAAAAGGGTTCAGGTGAGTTGTGTGGTAGAGCATTACAAAGTGTCGTGTGTTGGTGTGTGTGTATCTGTTCAAAGTAGGGTAGAGTAGAAGTGTGGTGTGTGGCGTGGGCTTTTTTTGGTTGTTATTTCTCAGCATGAACCGAGAACATGAGAGAAGAGCTCCTTTCTTGTCTGTGTAATTATATTTGCATTTTAACTGACTGGAAAGGAAGATCACTGGACGACAGACAGGGCTGACAGATTACACGGTTCCAGGAGGCACTGTTCATGTGTGCAGTGTCCCCTGAAATTGTGCAGTTGCAGTGGCAAGGCTTCCTGTCCTCGCCACCCTTTTGGGGGTTGTTGGCCTTTGTGGGCATTGTCACAAACCCGGGTCATGTGCTTCCCTCTACCTCCCTCTCCTTATTTTGGAGCCCAGGCCCCCTTCATCCTGGCACAGCCTGTTTCAGCTTGAGTCAGTTGCCCAGGGGGTCCCCAGAATGGCTGAGCCAGGAGCCTTGTGTGGGCCAGGGTGGGCTGGCCCTGGATGGGCCCTCACTGCGGTGTGTTTGTTTTATAGGCGTTCCTCGCCGAGTGTGACACGGTGGAGCAGAACATCTGCCAGGAGACGGAGCGGCTGCAGTCCACAAACTTGGCCCTGGCCGAGTGAGGTGAGGCCCTGAAGAACAGCACCACCAGCCCTGCCCTCTCGGAATAGACATCACCTGATTTCTCCAGGGCTACTGGGGACCATCGGCCGGTTGCCAGTTTTCCTTCTCCTTCACCTGTTCTCAGTGAACGAGCGTTGTCTTGCAGTCTTCAGTGCGGCTCCTGTCTGTCTTCTCTTCTGTCTCTGTGGCCGTGCTGTCCCGCTTTGTCTGGAGAGGGCTCCCCTGCCCAAGTCTTCCCGGCTCTTTTGACCTTTGGGTGCTTTTGTTGGGCTGGTGAGAGCTCTCAGTTGTCCTGGGGTGGTTCCGGGTTGTAGGCTACCCTGGTCTTCAGATGCTTGAGGCATTTTTGCCCTTGTGATCCCACAGTCCCGTAGATGTAAACCAGAGTCACTGGGCGGTTGCGGCTCGTCAGGAATGTTGGGAATGGCCTGGAACAGGTGTTTGGCACACATGTAGTCCAAGAATCCCTTGTCGTGACCTAGTTCTGGACAGCTGGCTGGGTTGTTGGTTCACAGACCCTGTCCTCACCTTCCAGGGACCCTGCCCAGCCACAGGCCGTGAGATCTCGGGCTGTTCCTACAGTGGGGCCTGTGGTTGATGCATGGACTTCCTCGTCCCCAAGCAGATCTCTAGAAGGTTAGAACCCAGTGTTGTCTGAGTCTCTGCTTGAAACCAGGTCAGCACCGTGGCTCAGGAGGGGTGAGGGGGAGCCAGAGTGAGGAAAGCGGGTGGGGAAGGGAACCAGAACCTCCCAGGCGTTCCTTCAGACGTGTTTCTGTCAGCCGTGCCCTCTTGAGAGCCATATTGCCTTCAAGGCCGTTCCTGTGCATTTTGTGGCCTCCCCCTACACCCATTGTTATTTAAAAAAAACGAAAACATTTTATATACACATCAGCAAGCAGAAGAATGTTTAAACTTTTTTTTTTGATAGATGAAGTAGTGGTTCTAGTCGTAATCTCTGTTTAACAAAGTTGAGATTGGCTCTGCGTGCTAGAACTCTTAAACAGGTCAGCTGCTGTCACCCCATTTCTTTGCACTGTGCCCAGGAGACAGGCTCCCAACAGGCCGCTCTGAGACTGACATTATTTGGCAGACGGAGTCACTGAAGTCCCAGGAATTTAGGGTTGCGTGGGTGGGACCTAGGACAAGGTGGTGGTGGGGTGGACAGGTGGACGAGGCTCAGGGCCCAGCCCACCCCCAAACTTAATCAGAGCAGTTCAGTGTTTATCTGTTTTCATATAGCAGCTGTGTGGCCTCAGGCCACAACAATTAATGAGAAGTTTCTGTGTGCCACGTGCCGTTCGAAGGTCTGTAGGTGTGTTAGTCATTTAATAATCTCACAACCTAGGAGGTAGACAGAACTATCCCATGTTAGAGATGAGGAAACTGAGAGCTTAGGGAATTTGCTCAAGGTCATAGAGGCAGTGGCAGAGCCAGGATGCAGAGCTGGGCAGTTTGATTCAGAGCCCATGCTCTTTGTCTCTGCCGCCTCCCACCCGATATGGGGTTGTTTGCTCTCTCGTTTTCTCTCTCTTCCTCTCCCTCTCTTTATCTCTCATGTTGGTCTCTCCACTTCCTCTCTGGCTCTCTCCAGTTCATTCTCCACAGGGCATCTTGGGTGATCATCAAGTACAAATCTTATCATGTCGGCCCCCTGCTTAGAAACCTCCCATGGCTCCCCATTCCTCTTAGGAGAAAGGCCCGTGTCCTCATCCTGCACCCCTCCCATCTCATCTCGGGCCTGTCTCCTGTCTGTTCTCTGCTGTGAGTCATTCTGGTCTTGGTTCGGGTCCTCAGATGCTCTGTACTCTCTCCTGCTCTGGGGTCTTTGCACACATGGTTCCTCTGCTTGGACAGCCCCTCACTGCCCGCCGCCCCCTTCCTGGGTAACTCCTGTTCATCCTTCAGAACTTCACTCCAGTGTCTCTTCTGTGGAGAAGCCTCACCTACTGTCTGAGAACGTATCAAGCCCCCAGGTGATGTCTTCTCACAGCTTGCCATGACTTTTTTCTCTTTATGATAAACGGCATTTATTGTAGTCTGTGATGATTTATTTGTGGGATTATTTGATTAATATTTGCCTTTAATGGTAGACTGTAAGTTCCTTGGTTAAGGAGCTTCTTTGTCTTGTTAACAGCATATTTCTGCACATTGTCTGGTTTGTAGTAGGTGCTCAATAAATGTTTGGAGGATGAGTGAGTGTTGGACACACGCATTGAGGGTGCAGTTCCCACACTGGAGCTCTGGCAGCACTGGAAGTCATGGTGTCAACAGCCCGTCTTATTTGAGGGTTGAGAAAAGAGGCCCTCAGGCGTGGGCTGCCCAGCAGACGTGCAGAGTGCTGCCAGGGGCCCGTGCACAAGGCCCACCCACACAGACCTGCCCATCCAAGGGTGTTCCTGCCTCTGAGCAGGGGGAGGATGCTCCTTAGTTGCCCACTTTCCTGGGACATGAACAGTCGCACTGCAGGGGAACAGATGCGGCTCTGTGATCCCACAACATCCTCCAGCCTCACAGAGCTGGAAGAATTCTCCCACGGGCTCTTCAGTCAATGATTTCCACTTACCCTTCAAGGCACTACTTAGTGGTTACCTCCTCCAGGAAGCCCTCCTTCATCTGGTCATTAGGCCTCTTTAGTTGAAAGTACCAGAAACCTAATTACAAAGAAATTGTTGAAATAGAAGATTTATTGGCAGGATGTCAAGTTAACCCAGGTAACTTGGGGAAGGTCCAGGGCAGCTGGGCTTCAGGAACACAAACATTGCACGGAATCACTCTCCATATTGTCGATGTCGTTCGCTCAATCCTCCTTCTTCCACACAGTAAGAAACATGGCTGCCAGCAGCCCCTGCTTCATACATATTACAGCTTCACCACCAGAGAGGAACTGCCTCTGTTTCCTTATTTTCAATTTGAAAAGTCCTGGAGAAGAGCCTTTTGGCCAATCAGCAGTGGCCAGGGCAGCAGGGTCACATGCCGCAGATACGTTTCAGGGTGGTTCCTGGAAGTGAGGCCACAGTTTGCACATCTGTAAAGTGGGGAATTAGGTGTTTCTTCCTCTTACAATAAGTGAACTCCAGGTTTTCAGCTTAGCACATGGCCAACCAGATAAAAACTACTATTTCCCTGCCTTCTTGCACTAGCATGGCTAAGAGACTACATTTTAGTCAATGGGATGCAAACAGAGTGTGTGCATCTTATGGGAAGCGTCTTCAGAGGCAGTACTGTGCCCTTCTTTTCCTCTCTGGGCTAGAATGTAGACACGATGGCTGGAGTTGGAGCAGCTATCGTGGACCTTGAGGTGGAAACTGATGAGGACGGCAGAGTAACCATATGGAAGGAGCGTGGAGTTGGCATACTACATGGGTCTGTGTTTGAGAGAAATTAACTTCTATCTGTTTAAGCCACTGTTATTTTGGCTTTCTGGTCTCTCACAGCCAAACAGTCCTACATCATTCCTATGCACGTGGGAAACACAAGTTCTGCTGCTATCAGTAGGAGTAGAAGAGCTATGGATGACCTCCCAGTCCCTGCCACCTGTGAATCTGTCAGCAACAGTTCGTGCCTGGAGTTCCCATTTCACTGGTCCAGGGAATGTTGGTCCTGTCTTCCCTGCCCTCTCTCCTTCTAGAGCTTGGCGTGTGTGGTTTCCCATAGGGCATCTCCTGCTTTATCGCCCACCCTAGCACAGGAATCTGTCCATGTGAAACTGCTTCCACCTGGCCAGGCCCACTCCTTTCTCCTGCCACCATTACCAAGAGGCTCCACCTACAGGCTTTGTGTAAAAGACGGGGTGTTTGACATATTCCACAGGCTGGGGTCTCTGGGATTTGCCAGCGATGGGCTGTGTGTTCCTGTGGGCTGGTGTGTGAGTGCATGTGTGCTGTGTGTGCCTGGGGTTTGTCTAATGTCAGCATATTTAACAACCAGTCAATGGATGTTGACCAAAAAAGCAGACCAGGGTCTGGAGTCCTCCAGCTGTGGGTGGCCCGGCGCAGGGGGGCGCTCGAGGGCTTGGGGCGGCCCCTGTTTTCAACTGTAACAGACCTAGTTCAGTATTTTAACAAGCTTGTGTGTGTGTGTGTCTTGTGTGTGTGTGTGAGAGAGAGAGAGAGGGAGAGAGACTCGGGGCGCCAGTACAACCCAGGGAGGCCGTGAGGGATGTGGGACCCTCACAGAGGCTGTTGGGCTGGGCCGGGTACCCTGGCCATGACGGAGGGTACAGATCTCACCTGGGATCTTAGCCTCAGTGACAGGCCAGGCTGGGGCAGACAGGAGCGCTGGGCAGTGACCTGGGGTCGGGGGCTGGCCCCTCAGAGCCCTGACCTCAAGCAGGCGGAAAATACCTGGGCTCTCCGGTGGAGGAGCACCACAGCAATGGAGAGGACATAGGTTTGGAGTAGGGACGACAGGGCAAGACGCCCACCCCACAACCGCCTCCCCAGAGTCCCCAAAGATGCTGGCCTACTGGGCTGGGTTGGCTGGATCTTTTATTTCACGTCACATCCTCTCCACTCCCACCGCTGTTCTCCAGCCTGAAGCTTCATGGCTTAAGGGGCTCCTGTGGGGTCAGCATTTGCCATCCTTCACAATCTGGAGGTCCTGTTTGGTTTTTCTGGGATCACAGGAGATATGGCTGAGGCCACCTCCTCAGGAACTAGAAGGTACCCTTCAGGGACACTGGCCCAGTCCCCCCAGACACCCTGCTGAGCCCTACCCACCCACCCAGTGTACAGTGCAGGACAGGTCCCCTGGTGCCCTGGGCACATTCTTCTACAGTTTTCCCTCTTGCACACCCTCCCCCTGGGAGATTTCAGCTTCCTGGGGTTTCAACCACTGCTGCATGCCCGTGACTACAGCTCTGTCTGGCCTGGACCTCTGTCCTGAACTCTAGGGCTGTTCATGCAGTTGTCTGTTGCACATCTCCACTGGCATGTCCCAGAGGCTCAGCTGCCCACAAACAGTATTGCCCTATAAACCTGCTATATCCCCCTGCCCCCGACGTTGGCACATGGCATCACCAGCTGCCCAAGCCCACAAGGTAGGAACCAGCACGTTGCTCTTGTCTCCTCTGCACACCCCCTGCTCCTCACGTCCAAGCTCAGCCTGTCAGTTCTACCTGCGGTGTAACCATGAGTCTTTCACTATCATGACCTTTCCCCAAGTTAGGACAATGTCCTGCTGTCCTGCCTATCTGTCCAGAGTGTTGCAGCTTCCAAAGATTTTCTTCTCCACGATCTCACTGAGCTCTGGCCAGCTCAAGGGTCCTGTTAATGAAGACATGAGACCAGATGGGTGCTCTACCTACTAAGGTCATGTTCTGGCCCTGCTCCCCTCTCTAGACTCATTTCTTGCCTCTCTCCCATTCTCCTTTAAACTTCATCCTGCAGCATATCTAACTTCTTATATTTCCCCAAAAAGAAACTTCCTTTCCCTTGTAGACCTTTCCAAACTCATTTCTCTACTTGGAATTACCTTCCCTTGTTCCTACTTTATCCTAGCTCCTTTCTACTTCTCCCTCAGGGTTGAGCTGAAGTATCACCTCCTCCAGGAAGTCTTCCTTGCCCTTGTCCTGCACCTCAGGCCCCTGGGCACCCCCACCTGAGCCTGGAGCATCCTATGCTGCAATTAGCTGACGGTCAGCTTGGCTTCCCACTTAGACTAACCGCATGCCTGGGAGGCAGTGATGCTGTCTAGCTCATCGCGCCCTGTGGTAGCCCCAGTGCCCAGCGCATAGTAAATACTCAATACAGAATTGCTGGCTGGAGGAATACACAGAGAAGTGAGGTCGCCTAGTCAGTCAGGGGCAGAGCGAGGAGAAGAACTCAGGGTCTCTGTCCCACCCACAGCCCCGTCCCAGCGGTGGTGTTCTGCTGGTCCATGTGCCACCTTTGCATTACACTTGTGCTCAGTCTGTTAGGGGCGCAGTCATGTCGGAGGACGGTTAGGCCGAGTGTGTGTGAAGGATGAGGCAGGTCCTCTTGCTGCTTTCAGATGCGTCTGCACAGAGATGGGACCCACCCAGGCAAGCTGAGGGTAAGGTGGGGGTGACCTTCATCTGGGTCAAGCAGAGCTGGCACTCACTGTCATACGTGACCCCGTCAGTGCCGCAGACCAGGCTGGACATCTGGGAACAGTGTGGAGACTCCGCCATGTGCTCACAGATGGGCTGTGGAGAAGAGGAAGGGAGGGAGGGCATGCAGGGGTCAGAGGCAGGGAGGAGGGACCCAGGGGCTCTGCTTGAACCAGCAGCGCTCCAGGGAGGAGCCTGAATCAAGGAGGCCCCAGCGTGGCTCCAGTGACCATGAAACCAACCACTCAGGGCCCCTTGGCATGTTTGCTGGTGTGTGCGTGTGACTGTGTGTGTGTGGCTGTGGCTGTGAGTATGTCTGTAAGTGTGTGCCTGTGTCTGCTGAGCCCAGGTATGCAGGTATCCGAGTGTGTGCCTGTGTTTATGTGTGTGGAGTGAGTTTGTGCTCTCAAGCTCTTGGGGACAGGTTCACACACTCCTCAGAGAGTCTACCTAGAACCTCTGCCACTGGTCCCATTAAGGACCCTGGAGACAGAACCACTCACCATTCCCAGGAGGCCCCTCCTCCCCAGGGCACCTGAACTCACCCGGGCCTGCCTGACCTCTCAGACTGTTGGTGTGAGAAGGCTGGAGAAATGGGACAGGGCTTGGGGCCTCCAAGGCTCAGTCTGAAAGTGTTTCAGACCAGGCCTAAGGTCAGGGTCAGAATTGGGTCAGAACTGGGATCGGGCCTGGGATGGGGTAGGGTGAGGGAGGCAGTGTGGTAGAGTGGAGGTCCCAGGCACCGGAGACCTGAGTGCTGCACTGATTAGCTGTGTAAACTTGGGAAGAGCTATTTCCACTCTCCAAGCCTCAGTTTCCTCATCTGCAAGAACTGTGAATAATAGTATTCTTCTCACATACGCTTAATTGAGATAATGTATGTAAAGTGTTTGGTCCTTTGACTGGCACAGAGTAAGTGGGGCTGGGTTCTGACGGGCTGACAGCAGAGATGCCGGGGCTGCTGGGTGGAGGTGGCTCTGCGCCTCCCCGGTCACCTAGGGGAAGAGGGAGATGAAGGTCTCGAAGAGGCCAGCACCACTGCCTTGGGATTCCTGGGGACAGCAGACCCAGGGCCAAGATGGAATTGGGGTTCAGGGACACCTTGGTGTCTGTGCTCCAGACTGAGGGGATGGACGATGGAGTGTGGTTAGGGGAGGCTGGCACACTCCACAGGGCCATCAGTGTGCCAGGTTGCCTCTTGGGCCGAAATCCACAGCCTGTCTGTCTGCACTGTGCAAAGCAGAGAGTGCACTCGGTCCCGCAGAGCCTACGTGGGGGTCTCACTGCTGGTTGGGGCGGATCTCTCGAGGTCAAGTTTGGGACTTTGGCAAAGGAGCTGGGCCTGCTTAGCCTGGAAGGGCTACCCTGGGAACATACAGGCTCAGGAGGCCACCTGGCCACCGTGGAGCCATCGGAGTTGTCTGAGCAGGAGTGTAAAGAAGAAAACGCTGCTTTCCCAGCATGAGTGATGGAGCGGGCTCCCCTCTGCAGGTGGAAGGCCAGAATGGCAGCCCTGGGGCCAGAACTGCAAGCAGCCGCCTTACCATTCTTAAGAAAATGGGCCTTCCTGCTGACACTGGCCCCTTCTGAAAGGCAAAACAGCAAGAGTCAGGTGATGTTGGCTCTAGGCCCCAGGTCCAGGGGTCTGAGGACTGCTGCTTCAGCGGGCCTGTCCCAGCCACTACCCAGTCTGGAATTCCTCAAGGAAAGGTAGTGAGTCGCCAGACAGTGAGGCTCCCAGAAAGCCAATGTGACCTCGGGTTGTGTGAGCAGTGACAGAAAGTCTAGAATTAGGGAGGTGACAGTCCAGCCTGTCCTTGCTAGTCAGATTCCTCTGGGATCGTTATGTCCCATATAATAATAAGAATAACCATTCAGTTACTATGTGCCAGGCATTGAGAATACATGCTCTGAACTGCTCTTCACACCTCCACACCACTATGTGACAGGGAGGAAGGTGGCAGCAGTGGACCCACCCCCAGCACTGAGGCACTCAGTTCCTCAGCTGCCGGGCTACTGAGTCCTCCCCAGCAGTTACCCTCAGCGAAGGGAGCTGCCTCACCCAAGGTCGCGTCCCCCACCCGGGAACAACCCGTATCCAATGACAGGTTGATGTGGGTACAACGGCCCAAACCCTTCGTCTCTCTTCAGAACAGTGCTCAGGGGCCACCTGTCGCCAAAGCTCCCTGTAGGCTCATGGGAGGCCCCTGCTGCACTGCAGTCAGCTTCCCTCCTCCTTCACGGGTGTTACCCCTGAGCACCCCCTGCAGACTGCATGCAGATCGACTCTGTTCCCTGGGGACCTTGACCACCCTGTGGAGGAGGCTCAGAGGGAGAGCACACAGCTTGTGCACAGAGCTGGGATGTGCACAGCCCGGCTCTTTCCACACACACGTTTGTGCCCCACGGCCCCTCCAGGTCTAGATGGACTGCTTACAGGACATGAGCAAACTGTGATGTGACTGGTGAGCATGATGGGGGGATGAGGGAACGGGGGCCATATCTAGGGCCACGGGTGGAAGGAAAGGTGTCTGTGTAAATTGGAGAAGGGCAGGTAGCTCCCTGAAGTCTCTGAAGGGCTGTCCTGGGGCCAAGGGATTGATGAGCTCTTCTCAGAATCATAGGGCAGAGCCCTTCCATGCAAGAAGGCTTCAGGGAGGCAGGTTTGGGTTCCAGAATTTTCTCTCAGTGGGAACTATGTCTTAGCGAAGGAGGCTTTCTCCAGATGTGGAGAGTTCTCCATCACTGGAGGTGTACAAAGCACTGTGGTTTTAGCTTTTCCTGGGGATGCTGTTATTAGAACTTTCCAAGGTAGGGAGAGAGAAGGGAATGGAGACTAAGGGAGCTCTGATGTGCTGTTGCAGTGTGGCACTGGGGCATCAAATGCAAATCTGGCCTTGTCACCAGACTGCTCAAAACCCTTCCACGTTGTAATTGCCAAAACTGGAAATTACTGAGATGTCCTTCAACAGGAGAATGGATAGACTATGATACATATATACAGAGGGATACAGCTCAGCAATAAAAAAGAGCAGACAACCGAGACATGCAACAACATGACTGAATCTCAAAAACATGCTGAGATGGGCCGGCTCCGTGGCTTAGCGGTTAGGTGCGCGCGCTCTGATGCTGGCGGCCCGGGTTCGGATCCTGGGCGCGCCCCGGGGCACCGCTTCTCCGTCCAGCGCGAGGCCGAGACCCACGTACAGCAACTAGAAGGATGTGAACCTATGACATACAACTATCTACTGGGGCTTTGGGGGGAAAAAAAATGAATAAATAAAATCTTTAAAAAAAAAAAAAAAAAAAAATTTTAAAAAAAAAAAAAAAAAAAACATGCTGAGCGAAAGAAGCAAGACACAAAGACTACCTACAATATGGAGGGGGCACCTTGGGCCAAGGTCAAGGGCAGCCTAGGGGTCAATGCAACATTCTATATGACATTCTAGAACAGGCCAAACTAATCTGTGGTGGAAGAGAGAGCAGTGGTTGCCTCTGGAGGTGGGGCGGGGGAGGGAATTGACTCGCATGAGGGAAATTTCTGGGGCGATAGAAAGGTTCTGTATCTTGATAGGGGTTTGGGTTAAAAAGCTATACGCATTGTTAAAACTCATTGAATGAGATTCATTGATTGATCAGATTTGTGCATTGCATGGTATGTAACTATCAGGGGACAAAAAGCGTTAAAAAATCTAAAGCCCTTGCATGGCTCCCCGTCATGGTCACTAAGCTTGTTCATCTTCTGTTTAGGGTGCTGCAAGAGCTAATCCCAAACTTCCTCCCTGGGCTCACTTCCTAGTTCACCCTCCATGTGCCCACGCCCAGCTATCCCTCTCTGCTTGCTCTTCCCAGAACAGGCTCTGCTCTGGTTTATGCTGTTCCCTCTGCCTGGAATGTCGTTGTTCCCCTTCTCCTCCTATTGACTCGTACTCTCCTTTCAAGGCTCAGATGCCACCTCCCAGTGAAGCCTTCCGTGATGTCCCCAGGGTTTCCTGAGCATGCCTGAATTTAGGCTTCTGTTTTAGTCCATTTGGGCTGCTATAACAAAAATACCAGAAACTGGGGGGCTTATAAACGACAAATATTTATTTCTCACAGTTTGAAGGCTGGGAAGTTCAAGACCATGGTGCTAGAAGATTTGGTGTCACTGGTAAGGGCCGTCTTCCTGGTTCATAGTCTGTGCCTTCTCCCTGTGTCCTCACATGGTGGAAGGGGCGCAGGAGCTCTCTGGGGTCTCTTTTATAAGGGCACTAATCCCATTCGTGAGGGCTCCACCCTCATGACCTGATCACCTCCCAGAGGTCCCACCTCCCAATGCTGTCACCGTTGGAGGTTAGGATTTCAGCACATGAATTTTGGGGCCCACAAACATTCAGGCCACAGCAGCTTCTTTCATGCCACCATGTGCTGTCCCATTCGCTGGGTCACTCCTGCCTCCTATGGACCTGTGCTTCTTGGGGCTCCTGCATCTCTGCCCCCATGTGGCAAAGCCCCCCCCCCACATGCTGCCTCCCACACTCCAGCTGCATGTGTCCAGCCCAGGGCGGGGCTCCCATGCTCCCATGCTTGCTCTCAGTCCCATGCCCCCAGCCCGGCAGGTGGATGGGAGCTCAGAGGACATAGGCCAGGCTTCCTTCAGCACCCATCGCCCTGCAGCCAGCAGACTTGCCTCTCTCCCCTGCCTTAGGCCTGCTCCCTTCTGCCTCCCCCTTCTCTAGGCTGGTAGTTGCTCAGTGCATCTTTGAACTAGAACAACCTCCTACTTGCAGCTGGAGAAACTGAGGCCCCAAGATGGGAGGGAACTCTCACAATTTTGAGCCAAAGTCAGGATTTGAACCCAGGTTTCTTTTCTCCTAGCCCAGGACTTTCCCCACCACAGTGGACACATGCAGAAAGAAGCTATATGCAGAAAACTAAGGCCTCACAGGGTGCTCCAGACCCTGCCTCTGCCCCACCCCCAGCTCACCTACCAATACCAAGCCCCAGAGTGTCCAGGCTCTGCCCACTCACCCCTGTCCACCACGAGGAGGGCAGCCAAGGTAAGGGCGACCACCCACAGGCGGATGGCCATGCTGATTCTGGGCTGACATAGCCTGAGCTAGCTGGGGCCTGTGCCGGGGGAAGGAGGGGAGCCTGTTTATGGTGCTGATCCCCACACTTATCTCATCTAGGGCCAGATGGACCGACTGGCAGCATCACCCAGAGTTCATCTCTGCATCCTGGCATCCAGAAAGGGCTTGCTGTTGGCAGAGATGCTGAGCTCATGGTGCGTGGGGCTGTGGCCGTGGGGTTGGCAGATTTCTGAAGTGAGGAAAAGTTTGGATAGCTTGCAAAGCTGACACCAGTCTGAGAGCTGCAGAAGAGCGAGAGGGAAATGCAAGTAGAAAAACAGAGAGAGACTAAGAGAGAGAGAGAGAGAGAGAAAGGGAGAGGCAGATCAGAAAAAAGAAAAAAACCCCAGCAACTGGAGGTGGCAGGAGGCAGAGAAAAGGGGCTGGAGTCACGGATTCCTTTGCTGGTGCCTCCGCCAACCAACTTTGTGACCTCAGAAAAGCCACTTTCCTTAACCAGACCTCAGTTTACCCAGGCGCAAAATGGGGGTGATAATTCTGGCTCTGTCTCCCTCCTGAGGCTGCTGTGAAGATGAGGGTGGGGATAGCAGATGGGGAAACATTTTGCAGAGCGTGAAATGAGGTGTAAATGTAAATAGAAATGATTCTTTTTATTTCTTTTCTTTGCACCACGAAGAGGGCACTACTGATGGGGAAAAAAAGGCAAAATAAAACATAAGGAAGATACCCTCATGCTTCGAGTGTATTATGTATCGATTTGCATTTTAATGGGTTAAATACAGACAAGATTCTTTTCAAGAAAAATCAATATCTAAAACTCCCCCAGGGCCGCCCCGTGGCTTAGCGGTTAAGTGTGCGCGCTCTGCTGCTGGCAGCCCGGGTTCGGATCCTGGGTGCGCACTGACGCACCGCTTCTCTGGCCACGCTGAGGCCACGTCCCACATACGGCAGCTAGAAGGATGTGCAGCTATGACATACAACTATCTACTGGGGCTTTGGGGGGAAAAATAAATAAATAAAAAAATTATTGAAAAAAAAAATAAATAAAACTCCCCCATACTCATACAGTATCTATGAATGAGTAATTTGGTTATCTGCTTTCGAAGAATTTCTGATTTATAAAAAGAATATGAAAATTTTATTTACATATGCATTTCTCTAGTTCATTTAGATCAGTGGTATTCAGCTCCATCTGCAAATGAGATTTCCCTGGGGAGAATTTAAGACCTCAGATGCTGAGCCTCACTCTGAAATATTTGAATCAAAGTTTGTGGTTTTTTTTTTTCAGGGTGAGGAAGATCCGTCCTGAGCTAACATCTGTGCCAGTCTTCCTCTATCTTGTATGTGGGATGCTTCCACAGCATAGCTGCTGAGAGGAGTAGGTCCATGCCCAGGATCCGAACCCGTGAACCCAGGCCGCCTAAGTGGAGTGCACCAAACTTGAACCACTCGGCCTCGGGGCCGGCCCCAAAGTTTCAGTGTTTTTTAAAAAACCTCTTTATCCAGAAAGAGAAAGACAAACACTGTATGATCTCACTCATATGCGGAATATAAACCAACACATGGACAGAGAAAACTGGACTGTGGTTACCAGGGCAGTGGGGGTGGGGGGTGGGCACAAGGGGTGAAGGGAGTCATATATGTGGTGATGGACAAACAAAAATGTACAACCCAAAATTTCACAATGTTAGAAACCATTAAAACATCAATAAAAAACAAAAAACAAAACAAAAACAAAAACAAAAAACCTCTTTATTTTGAAAGATGTCAAGCCTAGAGATAAGTTGTAAGCATAGTTAAATGAGTCAGTGGGAAGAGTTCCTGTTCAAGAATAGCACTTTTGGGGGCCCCAAGCAGCCAGACAGTCACCCCCACAGACCAATAGAAGCCCCAGATCTGCAGGCAAGCCCAGCCTGAGGGCCATGACTCAGGTTAGGGATCCTCCTGCCCCTCCTCAGGAACCCCCGGGTCCCACAGATGCCTCTGAGGCAGGTGGCAGCCATTCTTCCATTGCTTAGCCAGACAGAGCAAATATTTAATGATGATTTCCTGTTCTAAAGGAAGAACATCATCTCATAAAGGGAGGGGAACTTTAAAGATCATCTAGGTCCTTCCACTCAGGTCTTCCTACAGCAGCCCCACCAGGAAGTCATTCATCCTCCAGCGATGGGGAGCTCACTACCTACCAGTTTCATTGTTCGAACTTTGAACAGAGTCCTTCCTCACACAAGAGGTCTGCTCCCTGAGACTCCCTGGGGGGTCATGGCTCTGTCTCTAGCCTCCTGCACCTGCATGAACCCCGGGTAAGCACTTCCAGGCTGAGCAGGTCCACCCCTCACCTGCCCCCACCCTTGCATATGATGTGTGATGAAGCTCCTGGGCCTCTCTGCATTTCTTATTTGGTCCCCAGGTCTGTCTGCCGGTGTCCAAGGTTAGAGTGGGAAGGGGACAGGGAGGAGCAAAGAAGTTTGTCACCTCCCTTGTTTTGGACCTTAGACCTCTATCAGTGTGGCAGGAATGGCTGCTGATGGTTCTAGCTGCTTCAAGGAACCATGAAGCTTGAATTCTGCATCCTTCAAAGTCCAGAGTAAAATCAAGAGCAGCCTGTGGGGTGCCGAGTTCACCGACCATCCCCTTGCCCAAGGTCTCTCCTTGGACCAACCCTTCCTAGATTCACTCGTAGTAACAAGCTTCCTGATTGGTCCTCCCACCAAAGTATGAGCCTGACTCCTATATCCAACTGCTGTCGGACTGCTCCCCTTGGATGTCAATGTATCCAAATGAACCTCATTCGTTAGTTCAGAATTCATTCATTCATTCAACAAGAGTTTAATGAGCAGTGAGGTGCCAAGCTCCATGCTGAGTGTTTGGATACAGCAGGGAATACATCAGACACAGTTCCTGCCCTCAAGAAGCTTGTGGTTAAGTGAGTGACTGGCACTAACTGGGCAGAAGAGCTGTGTCATCACCACTGGGAGGAGCCCCGTGAATGAGACACATTCTGCTTTGGGAAGATCCAAGACTGACCTCCATCTAGGAAGCCAGGGAAGGCCAAGGGGTGAGGGGGTGGGGCAGGCTGTAGCAGAGTGGAACAGTGTTGTGGGCAGAGGAAACAGAATGTGTGAGGGCCCTGAGACAGGAAGAAGCTTGGCACATCCGGGAAACAGAGACACCAATGCAGTTAAGGTGAGGTCAGTGAGCAGAGGGGCGTGAGATGAGCCTGCAATGCTCGGGGGGGCAGGACCACTGCCCTCTGCGCACATCCCACCCCCTTCCAGTGGTGGGACCTGGGAGCCAACCTGGCAGCCTTCTCTGCCTCCCCACTGAGTGTGTAGGTTCTGCTTCCTAACTAGCTCTTGAATTGTCCCTCCTCCTCCACACCCACCATCCTGCCCTGGTCCTGGCCACCATCATCTCTGACCTGGCCACTCTCCCAACTCATATCCCTGGCTCCCCCTCCGCCACTCCAAAGCACAGTGGCCAGGGCAAGCTTCCTAAAATGCAAACCAGACCGAGTCACCCCTGACCAAAACGCTGTGATGGAGCCTGCTGCCCACTGATGAAGCCCAGCTCCTTAGCCTGGAGTTCAAGGCCCTTCAATGTGTGATTCCAACCCACCTTTTCAGCTTCACCTTTGCCCAGCGCCACTCTGTACCCACACTTCTTCATTCTACTGAACCCTTTGTGTAATTTATTCTCTCTGCTGGCAATGCTGGGTCTCCCATCTCTCTGCCCCATACCCCTGTCCTATAAGAACCAGCTCAAATATCCCTCTTTTCTGAAACCTTCCCTACTGCCCTTTGCCAACCTAGACAAGGTCATTGCCGTCTGCCCCTAATGCCCCACCCCACTGCTCCCACTTCCTCTATCACAGTCTGCCCCTAGTGCTCTGGGGGTGTTTGCTTGTCCGCCTTGCTGATAAACCTCTCCCGGATGGGTGCCAATCCTGAGCCCAGCACACAGCAGGTGCCCAATTAATGTTGAGTGACAGATCAAGAGAGGGCAGAGAACAATGGGTCCAAGGATAGATATGGTGGCAGCACTGGGAAAGAGCTCGGAAGTGGAGGCAACTGCTATCTGCACTGATCCCTCCGTGCTCCTGGGATGCCGTGAGAGCCCGAGAGAGCCCCTGACATGCACCAAACCCCAGGGCTCCTGGGTCAGAGTGCACGGTGTGACCCTGGCAAAGGGGCAAGGCTGCCTCCTCCAGCCTGAGCCACTTTACCACGATCCCCCTTCTCAGGCTTCTCTGGAATGCAGAGAGGACAGGTCCAGAGCTCTGGACCAGAGAGAGGTGGTCTGGGTTTGTTCATTCCTTCAACAAATATTTATTAAGTGCCTACTGTATTCCACGCACTATTCCAGTCACCAGGGATTCAGCTGTGGGTAAGATGGAGAAAGTCCCTACCTTCCAGGAGCTGACATCCTAGCGGGGTGACAAACAACAAACAAATACAAAATAAACTCATGATACGTTCTGTAGAAGAGAAATTAAGTGGCATGAGGGGATAAAGTGACAAAAGGGAAGGAGGCTGCTCTTTTAGATAGCGACATGTGAACAGGAAGGAGCCTGCCAAGCTGAGAAAGTGCAAAGGCCCTGGAATAGGAACAAGCTTGGCATGCTCAGGAAGTAAATATCAAGGAGTCCATCATGGCTAGAGTGAACAAGGAAAGGAGCGGCAGGAGGAGAGGGCCAGCTCACACGCAAATCCCAGCCCAGCCAGCAACTTGTTGGGTGAACTGGGGTGCACCCATCCGTCTCTTTGGGCTTGTGCATGTGCTCCCATCTGAGAAACGGTCCCTGATACGTACCACCACTAGCCTGACTCGCAGGGCAGCTGTGAGGGCCCTGAGGAGGAGAGGGTGAGGTGAGAGGGGTACAGCCTCGGTGATGCCAGGTAAGCACCTCGAGTGGAGGCCAAGCCCCAAGCCCTGGGCACCGACACCTGTGTTGGAATCAATGCGATACGGACAGAGATGCCCTAAACCTGGGCTCGGGCAGGGAGCCGGTGATTCCCCCATCTCATTCATTCCCAGGTCAGATGGAGGCCT